TCATAAATATTTTTCCTGGGAATATTATTCAAGTCTCCTGGAATCATTAAATCTTGAGAACTGCTGGTGATCCCTCTACAACTTTCCTGCCAAATGGTCATCAAGGCACGTTTAAATGATTGTGGAGACCAGAACTTATCTCCTAAGGCACCCTGCTCCATCTTTGGACGATGTCCTAAGCCAAGCATTATTTTCCTGTTGTATGTGAAATCCACAGAATTAAGGGGCAGCCCCCTTCTGCTTGGTGGGATGCATCTACACTTGCCCACATAAGTAATGCTTGGGACTGGTCTCAAAACAGGCGGGGCAGCACTAACTCCAGGCATGGCTGGCTCTTGTCCGTGTTCAGGCCAATTCCTCTACCTTGCATTTGAGGGCACTATGTGCTAACTGTGTGGGAACTGCGAGGTGGAAGCTTATTTCTCATTCTTCAGATGTTCTGGGTGTAACATACACACCCTTTGATATCAACGTGGAGTATAAGGATATTCAATTTGATACCTAGCGTTAATAGGCATTATTGCTGTTTTCCTCCTTATGACCATGACCTAACTCTGATAATTTAAAAAGTCTCTGAAAAAAAAATTCTATCCTTATTCATTCATCAATTACCATTTCTTTTTGAAAAAACACAATCGAGTTTTTAAAAACATGGTTCAAAAAAAATTTTTTTTTCTTTTTTGGTTTAGAAAATAGGCTGGTCTTGGCCGGGTGCAGTGGCTCACGCTTGTAATCCTAGTACTTTGGGAGACCGAGGCAGGTGGATCACCTGAGGTCAGGAGTTTGAGACCAGCCTGGTCAACATGGTGAAACCCCGTCTCTACTAAAAATGCAAACAATTAACCGGGCATGGTGGTAGGTGCTTGAAATCCCAGCTACTCAGGAGGCTGATGCAGGAGAATCGCTTGAACTGGGAGGTGGAGGTTGCAGTGAGCTGAGATTGCGGCATTGCATTCTAGCCTGGGCTGCAAGAGCGAAACCCTGTCTCATTAAAAAAAAAAAAAAAAGAAAGAAAGAAAACAGGCTGGTCTCAAACTCCTGGGCTCAAGCGATCCTCCGGCCTCATCCTCCCAGGCAGCTGGGATTCCAGGCATGTGCCACTGTGTCTGAAATGGTGAAATGGTTTGATTTTTAAATGAACCCAGATGTACTCTGGATCAATCATATTTCCTCAAATCTAAGCCTGATATAAACAAATTATTCTGTGTAATCAGCTAATAGTGTTGCCTTCAGTGTTGTAAAGAGGTTCTTAAAATGTGAGAAGTTCACATGCAATAAATGGAAAATGAATGAATGCTCTCCTGTAGTAACGTGAGCCTGCCTCTGCCACAACATTGTGCTATTACCTGTTTCATTGTTTATCTTCCTCTTAGATTCTAGGCTCCTTGGAAGGTCAAGGATAGAGATGATTCATCTCTGTATCCTCAGTAACTATCACAGTGTCTGATACTCAGAGCGTGTTCAATATATGTTGGCTGAGGGGGCCAGGCACGGTGGCTCATGCCTGTAATCCCAGGACTTTGGGAGGCAGAGACAGGTGGATCATGAGGTCAGGAGATCGAGACCGTCCTGGATAACACAGTGAAACCCCGTCTCTACTAAAAAATACAAAAAATTAGCCGGGTGTGGAGGCGTGCACCTGTAGTCCCAGCTACTGGGAAGGCTGAGGCAGAAGAATGGCGTGAACCCAGGAGGCGGAGCTTGCAGTGAGCCGAGATCACGCCACTGCACTCCAGCGTGGGTGACAGAGTGAGACTCTGTCTCAATATAGAAAGAAAAATAAAAATATGTTGGCTGAGGGGAACCGAATGATCAGTGGGAGAGAAAGCTTTATATTGCCTTCACAGAACTTGGGTGGGACTGGAGGGAAGGACAAAGTCCTGTGGGGTCAGAAAATCTTCCTGAAGCAGATGGAATGTGTCCTCAGGAATGGAATTTTCTAGAAGGAGTGTTGGATGCTTAGCTAACATGATAGGCAGTGTTTTTGATTGGACAGGGCTCAGCTGGGGGCTGCAGTGAGGCTTTATAACAGATGGTTGAGCATAGGCACTGGAACTGGGCTGCCTGACCAAATCTTGCTTCTGCCATTTACCAACTGTGTGACATTCGGTAAGTTACCTAGCCTCTCAATGCCTTAGTTTTCTCATCTGTAAAATGGAGTAATTCTACATACTTAGATTCATTTTATGAATTAAGTAAATGCATGCATATAAAATTTAGAACAAAGCCAGCCACAGAATAAGTGCTCTGCAATGTTAGCAATTGTGATTATTTTTATCTCTTTCCATTCCCTTGTTCTGCCTTGACCTTTCTTATCACCTACCCTCATCCCCTGCAATGTGCAATGCTTCCTACATGCCCCAGGCAAAAATGAATGACATACCCTGTGGACAGGCAGGAGATACATGAATGAATGTAGAGGATGAGTTGGTTTCTACACATCTCCAGGAGTGGAGGACAGCCTGTGTGCTCTTCTCTGTTTGAACTCATCATCTTTGTCTGTACTACCCTGGGACTGTGTCTTACTACGTGGCAATCCCTAAGAACATGGGAGCTACCACATCCATAAGGAGAAGGTCTGTCTAGAGAGAGCTGTGAACACTGAACATTTCCAAGGGAAGGCATGGTCTTTGGGGCAAAGACTGGCCTGGGAGTCAGAAAGTGTACTGAGTGTGTACTTTGTGAGTCCTTTGGAAGCAGGCTGAGTTGCCATTTCCATGAGTCTTGAGGGAGGTGGACAGGAAAGTGGGCCTTAGAGATGACAACACTTTTCCTTCTATAATACTGTGCCAAAATTGCTGGACAAAAAAGTGTAACACAAAAGCATTGTGGATACTAAATATACAAGCAATTACTGTAAATTTCCCCACTTTGAATTCTGCATTCTTAAATGCTCCATATTTTCTTTTTTCTTTTTTTTTTCTTGAGATGGAATCTCACTCTATCACCCAAGCTGGAGGGCAGTGGTGGATCTCGGCTCACTGCAAGCTCCACCTCCCGGGTTCACACCATTCTCCTGCCTCAGCCTCCCGAGTAGCTGGGACTACAGGCACCTGTCACCACGCCCGGCTAATTTTTTGTATTTTTAGTAGAGATGGGGTTTCACTGTTAGCCAGGCTGGTCTTGATCTCCTGACCTCATGATCTGCCCGCCTCGGCCTCCCAAAGTGCTGGGATTACAGGCATGAGCCACTTTCTTATCTCATTTCCTTAGCAGCTCTCACCTTTGAACATGCTACACGCTCTGCTTGTGTATTAGGTCTGTTGTCTGTTCCCTGTACTATCCTGGAGCAGGGCAGGGATCTTGGTCTGTTTTTTTCACTGATGTATCCCAAATGCCCAGAAACTGCCAAGCACATAGTAGATAGCCAGTGTTCAAATATTGGTTAATGAATGGTGTCTGTGATGGGATATTTCCTCCCAGAAAGTACGATTCATAATTCTTTCAGCTCTAAGTGAAGAACTAAACTGTTGCTAAGAATAAAAGGGATAGTTTCAACAGTATAAATCATGGAGAATGGCAGTATTTTTTGAATACTTGTAGCAAATATCTTTTCTTTTGGGGTCCAGAATCATTCTTCTTTCTTGTAGTTTTTTTTTTTCCTATAGAGATGGGTTCTCACTATGTTGCCCAGGCTGGGGTACAGTGGCTATTCACGGGTGTAATCATAGCACACTACAGCCTTGAACTCCTGGACTCAAGTGATCCTCCAACCTCAATCTCCTGAGTAGCTGAAATTCCTTCTTATAGTTTTCAGTACCCCATTTTCCTCTGTCAGACATACTTTCTCTTCCCATTCTCAGTCCCTGTGGCTCCAGGGTGGGCCAATGGCATTTCATTTGGGTATGGATAAGTGACCCACATTGGTTTACATTCAATTCTGGAATGACCTGGGAAATAGAAGCTGGTGGCCAGCTTGCCACCCCTGGGGAAGAGCCTATCTAAGAGGAAGCCCTGAAAAGCAGGGCCCAGTCATGGACAGAGACAGATTTTGGACAAATGCATGACTCTTAATCAAAGTCCCACCTTGTAGAACTAGGATTGGGGCAGCCCAGAGAATTAGGAGGGTGACCCTCATGACTTCCAAAACCCCTGCCAGGCTATGGCACTAGATAGAGCCACCATCATACACTCGGCAAGTATTTGGTTTCTTCTGCCCCATTCCTGTCTTTCTCAGTCATTTCTTATCAAGGGCCTGGAATATTTTCTCCAGGGTACTATGAAGGATCTGAGATCCTTCCATGCTAGGCCTGGCTATGTTCCTGGTCAGTTTCTTTGACTCCATGGCTATTTATTTCCAGTTCAGTAAGCTCTGAGGAGGGCAAAGAATGGGTAGGAAAGGGGCCCTAAACCAGAGGGTGTGGGATGAAAAGGATGGGCCAATTCATGGAGCATTTAATGAGCACCTTCCATGTGTCGGGCGCTGTGTTCGATGCTGGGGTGGAAGGGAGTGTTGCAAAGATGGACAAATGCCATCCTCACTATAGAAACCCTCAGAACCCTTAACTTGAAATGAAGCTAAGCTTGGGAGATCAATGAACTCTTAGAGAACAGAAAGCAAGGCCAGATATCCAGAAAGGAATTTGCAGTTGACTTCTAAATAGTTAACTCAAGAATCAGTCTTCTCTACAGTAGTAATATCAACTCTACCAAGTGACAGTGGTAAAACAGTAACAATTATTTTAGCTACTGTCAAGATAAAATGAATTATATTTGACTGTTTTATGAGGTAGTTTAAAGTTACTCTTTCTCCTTTCTGTTCCCTGTCCCCCACTACCCAAACCAGACACCCGACTGACTTGTCCCCGATGGCTGGCTGTGATTACTGTCCTAATTTGTTCTTTCTTCATCTGCTACAAACTGCCTATTTTCTGTCCCTTCTGATAATGCAGGAGCTCTGAGGGACTTCTGAAGCTGTTTTTGCACCATGCAGAAGTGTATTAACTGGAATTCCTATGTTTGTGTCTATAAAACCTCTCGTCTTCTCAGTGTGAGATCACCTTCAGGAACGGCGTCATGTCGATGTGCAGCTTGCGCGTGTAAAATTCTTTTCTGTTTGAACATATCAGCCCTTTATTTATACAACTTTGAGGCTCTTCTGTCTTCTGAGCTGCTGCCTCCAAGGACTGCTGGGCTCCCTGTGAAGAGAAGCAGAAAGCTCAAACTTTCATATGAATGATATACAGTGCAATAAGAGCTAGTCCAAATCCCCAAATATTTACAGAAGGCAATTTTTTAAATCATTGAAACAATAATACGCAACACCTATTTTTACTGTTGAAGACACAGAGGACCCTATAGAGAGAAAACAGCCCAAGAGTGTTTATTTATTAGTACCTATGGAAGTGGAAAAAGGGACCTTCCTAGGTCCCAGGGCTTTAATTATTTTATTTAACCTTCACAACAACCCTGTAAGGCGGGCACTGTTACTCCCATTATAGAGACAGGAAACCGGGAGGCTCTGGGAGGTTAAGCAACTTGCCCAAAGTCATTAGCTACTATATGGCAGAGCTAAAATTACCATCTGTTGAAGGCTCCTTTTTAATGAGATATTTTTGATACTTACATAGCTTCCATGAATGGTTATCAAATCTGCTTTGCAGCAAATATGGTTATAGCAAGATTCCAGTTTATTTCCAAGATGACAAAAATGAATTTGATATGTTAGGAAGACTGATTTGAACAAATATAGCAGAGAGAGAAGGAAGAATGAGCTAACAGAGGAGTCTGGGAGGCCCCGGGGGCTCTCCAAACTTCTGGGCCATGCAAAGGGTGTCACGTTTCAGGATACCACACAGTTGGATCTGAAGTTGCACTCCAGCCCATGCCCCACACTGCAACCTGGGTGCTCCTTCCAAGATGCATACTGGATCATATCACTTCTCGGCTTGAAACCTTCAAAGGCCATTGTCCTCAAGATGAAGGCCAACTGGCTTACAAGGTTTATAAGCCCTTCCTGCCTGGCCCTAGATGATCTCTCCTGCTTCATTAGGTCATACAACAAATATTTATTGGGTGTCTTTTCTATGCCAGGCAGAGCAGATAGGGCAGTGCCCAAAGGGACGAAAGTCTCCACCCTCATGAAGAGTGCACATCCATTCCATTGAAAGGGAAGACAGAATTCACAAGGAGGTGGAACATAAGTATGTCTGAAGGTGGTTTGTGATAGGGAGAAAAATAAAACACAAAGTGGGCTGAGGGAATAGCTGGGGATGGAAGTGGAGGCTGCAATTTTAAGCAGGGAGTCAAGGGAGGTCCCATGAAAAAGAAATGACAGGGCAAGCTCTGAAGATGGTGAAGGAAGGTTCTAGGGTCTATCTGCATGAAGTGTTTACTTCGCTATGGGAATAGCAGGTGCAGAGGGCCACACGGACACCGGCCCTTGAGCTCCTGGAGCAAGACCTTTGCACGTGTCCTTTCCGCTCCCCTTCTTCTGATTCTTCTTCGTCTTTCAAGTCTGCCTTCCCTATGCCCCTGTGACCACCCAGAGCATGAGCACCTCCTGCCATTGCCCACAATGATTGCTCAGGCTTGTGCAGCCATCTCTCCTCCTCCTCTAGACTGGAAGCCCCCTGAAGGCAGGAACCATGGCTCTTCCATTCCCATTGTCCCGGCAGTTTCTGGCACAGGGTCTGGAAATGAACACACACTTGATACATATTTGCTGAACAAAAGAGTAACTAACAGGTTATGGCCCACCTCAATTCAAAGGAGGAGGGAGCAATGAAGATACCTTTACAGGAAGTATGTGTTGACCTCCAGAAGACAGTCCTCTAGGGAGCACTGGTTCCTCATTTCCAAAGAGAAAAGTTATTTATTATTTTTGGGACCAATTTGCTGGGGTCACATACATTAATATGTCATGAGATCACTGAGAGTAGATTTGATAATTTCCATATTTTCTAGGAGACTCTCAGATGGCCATCTCTCTGGGCAGTCATAAAGTCTCCCTCCCATAACATTTATATTACTTTTAAACATTAATGATGAATTAACAATTGGTGAGTCCCCACAAGCAGTTATCATTCCAATGAACACCCACACCCTTTTCTTTTGCTCTGAAATGTGGCTAGAGATAAAGATTGTTCTGGATAAACACACGTCCAATTTTTTTTTTATCATCTCAGTCACATATCTGATTAGCTTTTCAGGGTGAGACAGTCCCTCTCCATTTCTCAATCACATGAAAGCATTTGGTCCAAGCTAGACTCAGACAAAGCATTTCAAGCTTTCTAGCCTCCACAATCATGCATGAATCACTGGATTGAATAATAGAAATCAGATGATAATGATTTGAGGGAAATTTCTCCATTATCCCCAAGAGAAGTTTTCATGTTTGACTGGAGAACAAAAGGCATAGTCAAGACCAATTTCAATGGCTGAAATTACTTTAACTCCTTATTTGGGGCTCCGATTGAAGAGTGGGGAGTTGAGAGGCTTTGAGAAAAGTCTCCCCAAGCCACTTGACCTATAAATCTTTCGATAAAACAATTCTCCTTACCATATGGCTCATCTCCCTAATGTTCAGGGGCCATCAATTCTAGCTTGATGGAATGTTTTCAGTGAAGGCTCTATACCCACTGGAATGAAAAGTACTGTTTTTGCTCATTATGTTCAAGTGTTCTAACGAATGAATGATAGTGAAAGAGGATTTGGGAGATGGGAGGAAAAAAACGATTAAACATATAAAGAAGAGGTAGTGATGTGAGAAGAAAAAGTCAGAAAATTGAAAGCAGGAAAGAAAGTCGCATGCTAGGTCCGGCACAGTGGCTCATATCTGTAATCCCATCACTTTGGAAGGCTGAGGCAGGAGGACTACCTGAGTTCAGGAGCTTGAGACCAACCTGGAAAACACAGTGAGATCCTGTCTTTACAAAAAATGTAAAGAAAATTAGCTGGGTGTGGTGGTACGCACCTCTAGTCCCAGCTATTCAGAAGTCTGAGGTGGGAAGATCCTTGAGCCCAACAGTTTGAGGCTGCAGTGAGCTGTGATCATGCCACTGCACTCCAGCCTGGGCGACAGAGTGAGGCCCTGTCTCTAAAAATAAATAAATAAATAAATAAATAAATAATAACAAATACAAAAATAAAAATGAAAGTCATGTGCTTGGGTGGTTTTTCATTTATCCATTAAACTGATATTTATCAAGTGCCTACTGTGTGTCAGACAAACACACACAAGCAAGATGATGCCTTTAGGTGGTGACTAGTCTGTGAAGACAACACAGTGGTGCTAGGAGGGAGGGTAATGGGAAGGGGGTGGCTGCTTGGCTTGAGTGGTCAGAGGAGGCCGCTCTGAGGAGCTGACATTTGAGCAGAGAGCTGGATGACAAGCTGGAGCCAGCCCTGGATTAATCTGTCTTTAGCAATCAGGGTAGCTGGTATCTCTGTGGTCTGATTATATATTTATTGAATTATTGAATTATTATTATTTTTTTTTGAGACAGAGTCTTGCTCTGTCGCCCAGGCTGGAGTGCAGTGGTGCGATCTTGGCTCACTGCAACCTTCACCTCCCTGATTCAAGCGATTCTCCTGCTTCAGTCTCCTGAGTAGCTGGAATTAAAGGTGTGTGCCACCATGCCCAGCTAATTTTTGTATTTTTAGTAGAAATAGGGTTTCGCCATGTTGGCCAGGCTGGTCTCAAACTCCTGACCTCAGGTGATCCACCCGCCTTGGCCTCTCAAAGTTCTGGGATTACAGGAGTGAGCCATTGCGCCTGGCTCTTGGTCTGATTATTTAGAGCTAAGCAGGGAATCTTTTAAAAGGAAAGTGGAATTCTTGATTTCTAGGCCTGTCTGCCCCAGCCTTCTGGGCTCCATCCCTGACCCTGTGAGGCACCCTTCTGTTTTCCGAGTGGCAGAGCAATCAAAACTGACACTTGTAGCTCTATGGTATGTTGAGAGCAAAGACAGAAAAATAAACAGTGATCAGGAGTCAAGGTCTCTAAAGGTATAGGAGGGCGAAGAAAACACAAGGTTGAATGGAAGGGAAGGAAAATGGGGGAACTGAAGAAAGCAGAGATGCCTGAAGGTTTTTTTTTATGTGAATACTGTGGTGGAGATGATTAAAAAACTAATGGAATGGATAGGCGCGGTGGCTTATGCCTGTAATCCCAGGACTTCGGGAGGCTGAGGTGGATGGATTGCTTGAGGCCAGCAGTTCAAGACCAGCCTGGTCAACACAGCACAAGCCATTTCTACTAAAAATACAAAAATTAGCCAGGCGTGGTGGTGCATGTCTGTGGTCCCAGCTACTTGGGAGGCTGAGGCATGAGAATTGCTTAAACGCGGGAGGCGGAGGTTGTCGTGAGCTGAGATCGCACCACTGCACTCCAGCCTGGGCCGCAGAGCAAGACTGTCTTAAAAACAAAATAAAACCAAAAAAAACCCCACACCAAACAAACAAACAAACAAACCAAAAAAACTGATGGAATGGTGAAATGTTTAACAGAAAAACAGAAGCCATCCCTTCACCTATATTGTACTGCAAATACTTTAGTATTTTCATGTTCTGCTAAAAACACCTGGAAGCCTTTCTCTTTAGTAAATGAAACAATAAAGATTAACGAGTTAATTTGGTAAAGCTGATTTGAATTGCACAGAAGGTATTGCGTAAGTACTTGGCATTTAAAAAGTTATCTGACATTTAAAAGGAGATGCCTGTTAATGAATTCAAGAGCTAATCTTATACTCTGACAGAGTGAGCCATGGAAAATCCAGGATTATTATCTTGCTGTAAACACAATATGATTCAGTTGAGCTATCACACAGAAAAAAGAGAGCACTATTGGTTGCGTACAAACATCTAGACTTACACACATATACAAGATGGCAAAACTTAAAGAGAACATCCATTAAAATTACAGACACATCTTATTGTTTCCTTTCTTACTCTTGAATTATAATATCTGAACTATAGACCCAGGGAGAAACTCTTCTCCCCAGTAATTTTTCCTCCTCCTTTCAGCTGGTATATTTTAAATGGTCACTACCACGGGTTGGTTCTCCAAACAGACTTTGGGAAGTCTAACCTTAAGCAAGAGATGAAATTCTAAATCCAAGTGGCTACGTCTCTACCCTGGGTCCCACAGAGCCACCACAGATAAGGATCTGTCCTGTAGGTGTCCCTCGGGCCCTCC